TCTGTAGCCAGGAGGACCTGAGTCAGAACTCCAGCACCAATGATACACTGGGCTAAGTGTGAGCCTAACAGCCTGGCCTGAACCAGAGGAGACAGGTAGGGCCCAGGAGCTTGCTGTCCAGTACGTACAATCAAGGCAAGCTTCTGCTCAGTAGACTGTCTCAAGGCAATAAGATGAGGGTGACAGCCTGGTTCTGGGTCCCACCAGAGTGTGTATGGGCACAAGACCAATATACTCACATGTATGCACCACACACATACACCACACCAAAAGAAGAACTAATACATGCTACAACACAAGGCAACCATAAAGACATTGTGTTGAGTAAGATATCCCAGTCAGGGTCTGCACTTGAGATGAAATGAGCAGAGCAGGCAAATCCAGGGACAGAAAGACTGGTAGTCGCCGAGGGCTGATGGGAGCAGGGTGGGCATTAGCGTGACCACTAATTCTTCTGGGCTTCCTTTTGAGGGTGATGAAATATTCTAAAATGTTACAGAGCGGCAGTAATGGCTACATGATTCTCTGACCACGTGAAAACAGACAATTTATGGAAGGCTTTTGTTGTTTTGGAGACAGGGTCTCACTGTACAGCATTGGCTGGCCTGAAACTCATGATGTAAACCTGGCTGGCTTTGTATTGACGGAAATTTTAAAAGGTGTGAAAATATCCTGATAAAAATGATATATAAAAATTAAGATTCAGTTTCTCAGGTACCTTAGCCAAAATCCAAGTGCTGACAGCCACAGGTGTGAGCGGCCACTGACCTGCCCAGCCCAGAGAGAGGTCACTTTCAACACCACAGAGAGTGCTACTGGCCAATACGGCCTTAGACAACAGAAGAGCCTCCTCACCCTTCCCCCTCACGGCCTCCTCCTCATCTTACTCTGACTCTACACCTACACTCAAAGCACAACCCATCCATCACTGTCCAGTTGCTCTCCAGTTTCCCTCCCTGCCCACTTCTGACTCAAGTCCCCTCCTGTACAGCAAACTTCACAGCAACCCAAATGCCTGTCTCCATGAAAAGTCTCCTGGCTGCTCAGCTTCCACGTGCCCCAGCAGAGTCAAATGCCCCCTCTTCTTGGGCTCGTACCTCGACTTCAAACAATCCCCTTGGGTTTTAATTCCTTCGTGGTGTAATCCCCCCCCCCCCCCATTTCCAGATCCTAGAGGTAAGAGACTCTGTTCCACCTCTGATGGTTCCCAGAACCTGCTAGGGTCCAGAAATGTCCATTAAACTGAATTCCAACAGAAAGGAAAATTACAGGAACTCAGGAAACAATTTCTGATAAAATGCTTGTTTTGGAATACCAGTCTAAAAAAAATCAGGACAAAGAGGCTAGATTTTGTAAGCCACACGGTCCTACTGTTCTACAAGATGTTATGATAGTGACTGCCCTGAAATACTATTTAAAATGATCAGAAGTTCAAGGTTATCCTTGACTACACACCAAGTTCAAGAGAGCTTGGACTACCTGAGACTCTGCCTCAAAATAACAGGAGAGAGGGTGTGGAGGATGGAAAGGGGCATACGGTACTTCCTGCCTCCTAGTAGTCAGAGATGGAGGTATAAACGTCCCAAGGGTGCATCCTGGGAATGGAGAAGCAGTTCTAAACTAAAACCTAAAGCACAGGAAGGAAGCAAAGATGATATCAAATTGAGGGGCGTGGTGAGAAAAGCAGGGGCCCAATCAAACTGTTTTGAAGTTGACATGTAACTCCATGGATGGTATCTATAGGTTGCACCCAGACCACTGGCTAGCTCACCTTATAGACATAGACATTTGTACTAAAAGTTTACGCTTAACAACACAGTCAGGTACTCTAGTTAGTTCTACATAACACCAGAAAGAAAGCAAGGCTACGTTATCTCAAGCATAAATTAACTGGGGGAAACAAACGCCAAGGCCTTCCTGTTTGCAAACTGCAGCTTTTTTATGCTCTTCAGATTCAAGGAGTCCCATCTGTTGAGTCACAACGTCCTGTGAGAGAGTTACACAGAAGTTCCTGTGTCCCTAGGCTAATGTACTTTCCTGGTCTACATGACAAGAAATGAGTATCCAGTGAAGTGCTGGTAAGAGGAAGATATATATATATATATATATGCGTGTGTGTGTGCATAAAATATTAAATGTACATGTACAATAAATGTGCATATTGGTGTACACCTGTAGCTCCAGCACTTACAAGCTGAGGCAGCAGGATCACAAGGAGTTCAAGATCAGTCTGGTCGATATACTGAGTTCTAACCAAGGCTATGGCTAACAAGACCTTGTCTGTCTAAACTACATCCCCCACTCCCCTTCCCTCCAAAACAGATCCCCACTGGTGGCTCAGTGGTTATGGCGTTACACTGCTAAACCCTGAAAAAAAAAAAAAAAAAACAGAAAAAAGATGGTATTTGACGGATCCATTTCAGGGAGGGAGATACAGTGAGGTACCCACACCACTATCTACACAGAATTCAGGGTACCACCTGAATGATCACTATAGAGATAAAGACCTGAGGCCGTTCCTGGACAGATGTTCTCTGCAATATTCTCTTTTTGATCTATATGGACCAAAACCCCAAGGAAAACCCTAAATTGACCAAGCTGTGCCAGGTTCAAAGTTAATAATTATATTGTAATTTCCATTCCAAAGGTTAAAAAACAAAACACAAATTTCACCATAGTTATCTGGTATGATTGATTGGACTGGAGGACTCAGAGGGAGGGTAAGGGGTGTCATGACAGTGTAAAGGGTGTCAGAGTGACGTAGGGAGAGGCCAGGGAGGAATGGGCAGCTCATAACAAAAACTTTCCCTCTCTGCAGGAACTGTATGGAACCAGACAACAGCTGTGGTCAGTACTAGCACCCAACCAAACGGAACAAAGTACAAAAGCTACCCTGTCCCCAAAATAAGTATTGGAAGCGCCAGGACTATGGTAAGAAAACAGTCTGTGATTGACGAACTGGAAGTGAGCCTTACACGGAAGACCCCCGCCACCCCCAGGCTGCAGGACCCTTTTCCAATGCTTTTCCTTAAAGAAGTGGCTCTGGTTTCTACAAGCAACCACCCCCACAGGCTCTACATTCCTAAATCAAGTCTCCTAACAAGGTGATTGAAGGGCTATGGGGAACAACCCCCAGAGACGTCCACAGAAACAGAAAAGCAACTTCATTCTGTGTTCTACTCCATCGATACCTACGCTTAACCGTACCAGTCCTGAGAGCTGTAACTTCTCCAGGAGACAAATGTATCTCTCCTGGCAGCTTATGGTTTTAACTCAGAAAACAAAGAACCTAAACAACGTCAAAAACGAAAGGCCTTCACCCTAGGAAGGAATCGTTCATTCATATATCTCCCAGCTAACATATGCACCCCCACCCCATTAAGACACAGCAACAGATGAGCTGACAAATAACTTGTAATTATAGACATAAAGGGGAATGCTATTCGGTCACAATGTGGATGGACCTTGAAAACCCGACAGAACGTGAAAGACGCCACACATACTACAGCATTCCACCACACAGGATGTGCAGAACAGGTCAATCCAGAGATACAATGCAGACTAGAGGTTGTCAGGGCCGAGGGTAAGGTGGGGGAGGGGTGGAAACAGGGAGTAACTGGTTAATGGGGACCATTCTTTGGAATGATTCAACTGTTTTGGAAGTAGATAGCGGTGGTGGTTGCACAACACTGACCCCACGCACAGTGATTCACTTGAAAACTGTTGATTTTGTTACGTGAATTTCAACGCACTTGACAATCTATCAAACCGCAGAGCCTGGGTGGCTGAAGGAAGACGATCCTGAGTTCAAGCCCAGCCTGACCTACACTGTGAGATCCTGTCTCGAACAACACAAAACTCAATTATTTTCGGGTTTTGTTTCTGTTTGGTTGTTTGTTTCAGGAAGATGATACTCAGGAGCAAAATAAGACCCATCTGTGCGAGGGCTGCCCTTAAGCTCTAAGGAGAGAGGTAAGATTTCCACTAACAAATTCTGCTCTTCAGCGTGACATGACGTGAAGTGCTAGGCTGTACAGGCTGACCCTGTGCTGTCTGTGCCTGCGAATGCTTTTCTGAAAAACAGACAATGATGGGAAGAAAGGGAAGAAACCAAAAATGATAGAAGCTTTGCCAAATTTAACAGAGGAGGAGCGATTCCCCCTACAGCACCGCACCCAATCTGGCACCAAGAGTAACGCTTCAATTAGGGTTTTGAAACGCCAGCCCAAGCTAGAATCAGCATAAGCAGGCTTCTCGGCCTGGACTAAGGAAGAGCAAGCCACTCAGCAAGAAAAGCTAGGGTGCTCCATTTGCTGCTCATGTCAGCATCGGAACCACCCTTTGGTCAGAAGCCCTGAGCTGGCTCGGATCAGCACCAGTGACTTCTTCGTAGGCCAGCCAGCCTACCCTCATGGCCTTCTCAGAGCTCAGATCTGCCCCTCCTCCTGAGGGGTTCCGACTTCATCCCTGTCTTCCAAGAATCTTACCTCCAATAACAGGCCACCAACGTGCTATGCCTTACATCATTGAAAGATATGAGCCAGGATGCCCTCAGAAGTTTTCCTTTGTCCACCCTGAAATAAATAACCTGCTGGGCCCTTCTCCCTCTGGTGCTAGTTCAGTAACCTGTGATCCCTGCACACATTGGTGTGCACACAGTCTCTGGCTCCTGACTCTACTGCGGGGCAGAAATAAGGCCCACATGCGCCAGTCATGCATCGATATGCAGGAAGAGTCATCCAGAGCACCCACCATACCTACCCTCTCAAAGACCCTCAAGTCGCCTGGCACCATTGCCTCTGCCATCTTCTCAACATTCAACTCGTCACAGGTGTCCCTCAGCTAAACACCAACACCCCCCATCACCCTGTCCATGTTAGCCACGGACTTCCCTCCCGAAGACACTCAACTCTTTGCAAACAAACCTCTTTGAGACCCCCCTCCAACCAGGCCTCATCCGCCCCGGACCCCCGAAGCTAGCCCAGGCGCCCTCCCCTTACCTGCGGGGGCTCAGCCCTTACTGACAGGGGGCTGGGCAGCGCCTGGAGGAGCAGGAGCGCCATGCCACCCAGGAGCCTTCTCCTCTCCATCCCCCTCCTGCTCCTGCTCCTCCGCCACGGCGCCGCCACCCCTCCTCCTCCCTCTCTTCTTCCCTCTGCTTCCTTCTTCCCTTCTTTTCCTGTTTCGCTCAGCCCTCCCGCTTCCGGCTCGGCTCCACCCCGCCCCAGACAAAAATGCCCGCCCAGATGCAGAGGTGGATCTCCAGCTCCCGTGCCTCATTGGCTGTTGTTTTTCGTCCATTGGCTAAAACAGCTGTGCGTCAAATACTAGTCCCACCCTCGTGCTTGGTGATTTGGCCAATGAAAAGTGGGAGGAAGCCGGGCCATCTTGATTGCTTCGAGGTGTGTGAACGTTCGATCGCCCCGCCCCACAGAGAGTGGCGGAAGTTAACAGGGGCTAAGGACACGACCACCGATGCATTGAAAAGGGTTGGCGTATTCAGCCATTTTGAGTGTGGCGGAAGTGTTATGTTCCCAGAGTTAAGGGGAGGTAAAAAAGAAAAAAGTGGTGAGGTATAATGATTCTAAAGTGTACTTCTACAGAGTAAAACAATTGCAGTCTATAAACCTTTGGTGCTTTTCATATTAAAGTACAGGACGCGCTAATATCAGGATCCCTTTTCCAAGCTCATTACCCAAGCAGCAGCTTAGATTCATTTGAGTTCCCTATTAAATGGCACCTCTATTAGAGATAGTGCTCTGCCACCCCAAGTTTCAAGGACAAAACTCTTATGACGCTTTGCAGAATCATTGCTTCATCCATGTATCTTCCGGCTAAATGAAAATCCCTTCCCTATGCCCTCCACCCTCTCAAATCCCATCCACACACACCGCAATGTCAGTACTAGTCTACACAAACCCACACATTACCATGTAGCCGCTTCACCTTTGAGAATACTTGTCCAACTGGGCAGGGGGACGTATCACTCTGTGGTAAATGGCTTGCACGGGCAAGGCCCTGAGTTCAGACCCCAGTATGGGCCATAAGGAATGTAGAATGCGAAGAGATACAGGAAAGGAGGGAAGAAGAAAGAAATAAAAGATTAGACTTCAATTATTTACAGGATGTATTAGGTTAGCTATTTGATGTAGGGTCTCCCATGTCGTCCATACAAGCCAGGAACTATGTGACTCAGGCTGCTCTCAACATTATGAGTTAGTAGTTTCCATACAAAGCCCTCTTGTTCATTACAATGGCTTTCAACAACCCACAGGCCAATTCAAAGAAGGCAAAGACGTTAGAAAATGAGGATGACGAGGGTCTGATGGAACCCTTGAAAGTCCCTGGCCTGGGGATGGCAGACCTCAATCGTAGAATGCTTACCTGACAGGAAGAGAACCTTGGGTTCCACTTTGGAACCTCAAATAAAAATCAAATCATCTCAAAATCCTCCTAACTTTAAGACTTTTCCATAAGATGGTAACTGAGTTTGAAGCCATTCTGTTCTACAGAGTGAGTTCCAGAACAGCCGGGGCTACGTAAAAATATCCTGTCTCAGAAAACAAAAACAGAATAGTCATCTGTGACGACAGGCATGCCGAGGCTTAAAGATTAAGAAAGCGAAACAAAAGCCGCTCTTTACAGAGAATACAGTGAGAAAAACTTCCCAAGTTCTGATGTTTCTTTTCCAGTTTGTTTTTGAAAGAGAAAAGCTGAAGTCAGGTTTCCCATCTTTTAAACTGGCTGAAAAGCAGACATTTCTGCTCATGTACCATCCAACATCACATTTTCCATGTTATAACAAGAATCCTGTAAGCATACTAAGCAAGAGAATCCAGAAACAGAAGGCCCATAGTATGACTTGGCCACAAATGTCTAAAGCAGACAAATCTGAAGACAATAAAGGGATGAGGGATTGGAAGAGGATGTGGCTGCTGATGACCTTGGGCTTTCCAGGAGGAAGAGAGGAAGTGTTCTGGATTTCAGTAGACAACTGGACTGAAAGGTACGAAACCATACAAGTTAAAGGGCACTCACAAGTCTGAAGTGAAGCGATAAAGAGTCCAGGATAGCCTGGGCTCCATCAAAAGGAAAACATCAATTTCATGGTGTCTGAGTTCCATTTTACTTCTTAAGTGGGTGTGGGGTTAAATGGTAGCTGGGATCTTGGCACGCTGTCTCCTTTAGTCCGACTGTGTGGTGTCAGATGGATACCAGCAGTGTTACAGCCCCAGGCCCCACCTCAGACCTACAGAACCGGAAGCTGGGATGAGCCTTTCCACCTGTTTTCGCAACACCTTCAAGTGACCCTGGTGAACATTCTTCCCTTTGAGGCAGGGCTGGAACATGCTATGTAGAGCAGGGTAGACTCAAACTCATGAAGATCCACCTGCCTCTGCTTCCCAAGTGCTGGAATCTTTAACGACCTGCCCCATGGGCCTAGTATACATTTCTAAAAGTCACAGTTTCGGGATAGGGGAGACATGTTAAAAGTCTACATGACACATGTACAGTGTCTGTCACATACTCTAGTTTTTCTTTTTATAATCCATTAAGAAATGTAAACGTTTTTGTTCCTAAGTGCACAAAAAGAAAAAAAAAAAAAAACAGAGAACAGGTGAATTTGAATGTCATGGCTCACCAATTCCAGCCCTAGGGCAATATATAATCCACTCCAGTAGACCTGTGGAACAGCAGCACAGATTGGTGGATTCTTCTCCATTATTAAGGAAATCAGACAGGTTCCCTCACAGTTGTGATACCCCCTGGCATGCCAAGGCCAGTGCTAGATCCTGCTTCCCATCAGGAGCTAGGAGCTTAATTTGCAGACAGCGTTTCATGTTCTTTCAAATCATTTATTCAATTCATAACAGTGCGTTTGAACAGAATCAGCAAATCTCGGCAGACGAAGCACATATACACACCGAACCCAGGGAAGCCAGTCTCCCAAGGGCTCAAGGAATGGCCCTCCTTAGGTTCCTCGGTCCCGGTGGACTTTCTCTCTGAGGTATCCAGGTGAAGCGCCCATCCCATCAGCACTCAGCTCTCTCTTTGATATGTGACCTCACAGGCTGAGGAAGGGAAGCCAGCAGGATATCATCCCACTGAAGTATGTGGCAGTACTGAGTGGTGCCTTCACTCGCAGTAAAACAGAGAAGGCAACGAGAGAAGAGACCTCTCTAAAGGTCCCAGAAGTAGATTTGGATGTGATTCTAAGACAGAATAGTCATTTTCAAAGGGGGAGAACTTGATGTCCCACACAACATCAGTGAAGTTGCTGTTTGTCTGTACACTTTTTTTTTTTCCTTATTTCTTCAAGACAAGGTTTCTCTGTGTAGCTCTGGCTGTCCTGGAACCCACTCTGTAGACCAGGCTGGCCTGGAACTCAGAGATCCACCAAACTCTGCTGTCCAAGTGCAGGGTTAAAGGTGCATGCTTCCCTATACGCTTCCCCCCTCCACACATACACTTTTTTTGTTGTTGTTGTTGTTTTTCGAGACAGGGTTTCTCTGTGTAGCCCTGGCTGTCCTGGAACTCACTCTGTAGACCAGGCTGGCCTGGAACTCAGAAATCCACCTGCCTCTGCCTCCCAAGTGCTGGGATTAAAGGCGTGCGCCACCATCGCCCGGCTACACATACACTTTTAAGGCTGTGGTCCTGGCAGATTCCCACTCAGAGGTCCCTGTCCTCTCTGTACACTCCAATCTCTTTGGTATGAGACCCAATGGGCTGAAGAAGGGAACTATTTGTCCATGTTTTGGGTTTTTTGTTTGTTTATTGTCTTTTTTAGTACAAATAACTCCAAGGACTTAAAAAACTCAAATCTAGCAGCATTCCAGTGACACAGTCCAGTCAGGGCACAATGGGGAAGGGTAGAGATGAGTCCCCAAGAGGATTCACACTGTCCCTTCTTTTCCTCCTGAATAGGGAGCTGGATAAATAGCTCAGTAGTTAAGAGCAGTAGCTGCTCTTCCAGAGAACCAGGGTTTGATCACAGTGGCTCACAGTGGTAACTCCAGTTTCAGAGGATCTGACATGCTCTCTGACCTCTGTGGGCACTGCATGCAGAGATATATATGAAGGCAAAACACCCATACCCATAATTTTTTTAAAAATAAAATGATAAAAAGCTGCTTTTTTTTTTTTTTTAGGTCTTTTGAGACAGTGTTTCTCTGTTATAGCCCTGGCTGTCCTGAAACTCATTCTGTAGACCAGGCTGGCCTCGAACTCAGAAATCTGCCTGCCTCTGCCTCCCAAGTTCTAGGACTAAAGGCATGTGCCACCACTGTCGGGTGATAAAAAGCTTTTTAAAGACTCACACAGTTAAACATTTCCCTTGCTTGGGAAGGGTGAAGCAGGAGAAGAGGAAGGGATTGGTGTATCTTCTGTCCTGACTGGACAAGAATCACATGCTTTCTAATTACTCTAAACTGTGTGAGCATCTCCCAGACACCAGCGACCTCTGCTGAGAAGGCCTCAGCTTCTGGTCCCAAGGGACAGGGTCAAGGACAAAGCAGACAGAATACTTTGTCATTGTTCCCTCGTTCACATTTTTGAGTCAGGCTCTAACTCAGGCTATCCTGGTATTCCCTATGTAGCTAAGGCTAACTTTGAACTTTTAGGGTTTTGTTTGTTTGAGACAAGATTTCTCTGTGTAGCCCTGGCTATTCTGGAATTAGCTCTGTACACCAGGCTGGCCTCAAACTCAGAGATCAGCCTGCCTTTGCCTCCTGAGGTTAAAGGTGTATACTACTACTGCCTGACTTTGAACTTCTAATCCTCCTGCATCTACCTCTTAAGTACAGGGATCACAAGCATAGAAAACTATGTCTGAATCATATGATACAAAGAATTGAATCCAGAACATTGTGAATGGTGGCAAACACTTCCAACCAAGCTATACCCCCAACCACCTTGATCTCCTTTTTAATTTGTGTCCTCTGGAGTCCAGTAAATTAGGTGCTTATATAGAAACAGGAACCATCCCCCCACACTCTATTTCCCCATGTAGCCTGGCTTTCAGACCTTACTGCAAAGAGGAATGTAGACACAGGTATGAACAGCTGGCAGGGAAAAGCTGGTCCACACAGCTTACGAATCAGTCCTTGTAGGCACGGAGCACTTAGAGACCCTTATTAAAGTAGGCAAAGAGGACTTGTTCTCCATACTTGGCCTTGATGGTGTCCTGCAGCTCTGGCTCTAGATAGGAAACTGGTAATTTGCTGAAAGGAAAACCAGAAGTGGATTATGAGGATGCTACTAAGACAATCAGCAATTTACCCTGAGAAAAAAACCCACCCACATATCACCTCTAAGAAGTCCATCCTAGTTAGCATTAACTGTCAACCTGACATAGCCTAGAGTCACCCGGAAAGTGAGTCTCAACTGAGTAACTGTCTTTATCAAGATGATCTGTAGGTGTGTCTGTGAGGAATTGTCTTGGTTATTGGCTGATCTGGGAGTATCCAGGCTGGGCGGCACCATTCCCTAGGCAGGTCCCTTGGGCTCTCTGAGAAAGCTAAGTATGAGCCTGTGTAGACAAGCCACCAAGCACCATGCCTCCATGGCTTCTGCCTCAAGCACCTGCTTGAATTCCTGCTTTGCTGCCCTGCTCTGCCCCACCCTGCCCTGCCACAGATGTACTAGCCAAATAAATCCCCCCCCCCAAGGGAATTGTCTCTCAGAAAGATTTCACACAGTCCTCCAGGATGATACCAAGTCTGCTTAGAGGTCCTTGGCCCTCTAAACTCTACTGTCACTTCAGGACCCTCGAGGGGCTGCTGCATCTTTGACCCTCTTTCCAACATAGCCACATTGGACAGTCTCTACTGCTTTCCATGAACAAAACAAGAATAACAAAGTTAGGGTTGGAGAGATGGCTTCCAGAGGATGCTAATCCAAATCCAGCACCCATGTCAGGAGTTCAAACCCGCTCTCAACTCAAGGGATCCAAGGCCCTCTCCTGGCTGTTGCAAACGCCAGCACACAGAGACACAAACACACAAATAAAACAAATCCTTCTTCCCCTAAGTAGCTCTTAGTCACAGTGTTTGCCCTAGCAACAGAATGAAACTAGGAGAGTCCATTCTAATTTTTTAAAATACCACCCACCCCATTTTGTGTGTGTGCATGCATGTGTATGTGTGCGTGTATGGGTGAGGCCAGAGATCGCCATCAGGCGCCTTTCTCAGTTGTCCTCCATTTTATTGGGGGGGGGGCAAGGTTTCTTACTGAACCTGGAACTCACCAATCTAGCTAGGCTAGTCAGTCAGTGAGCTTCAGGGATATACCCGCCCATGCCTCCCTGACACTGGGGTTAGAAGCACACACTACTACACCCAGCTCTTTTACATGGATTCTGGGTGATCTAACTCAGATTCTAGGGTTTGCATGGCAAGTACTTTACCAACTGAGCCATCTCCCAGACCTTTTCTTAAGTTTTATGAGACAGGGTTGTAAAAAAAAAAAAAATTTTTTTTTACTGCTTTTGTTTGCTAGGGTCCATATATCCCAGTCTGGCCTTGAACTTTTTTTAAAGATAGATTTATTTAGTTATTTAGTTATTTATACATACATACATACATACATACATACAGTGTTCTGCCTGCATGTATTCCTACAGGCCAGAAGATCTCATTACAGATGGTTGTGAGCCACCATGTGGTTGCTGGGAATTGAACTCAGGACCTCTGGAAGAGCAGGCAGTGCTCTTAACCACTAAGCTATCTCTCCAGCCCCTAGCCTGGACTCTTGATCCTCCTACTTCAACCCCTGGCCCTATCCCCAGTGTGGGATTACAAGTTCAATTCCTGATCTTTACAGCCAAAATTATTACCAGTCTCTGTATCAGAATAAATGTCACATCACCTAGATGGACTATAGTCCCTGGCTTTAACACCTGTGTTTTCCATGAGTCTGAAAGCATAGTGCTCAGGACTCGGGAGGTCCCTGGCAGATGGCCATGATCCCGCACAGAGGGTGGAATGACTGCTACCATCTCAGCTCATGCACAGCTACACCTGTGTCCTGGAACCAGCCTCCAGCTGACCCCAGGCTGATGGCCCCACTCCCTCATCTCTTCCCCCACACTTCCTTCTAGGAAACACAGAGTAAGCGGAGGTACAAGCCCATGCACAGACCCAATCATGAGCCATAATAAGCAGAATAAATGCTTCATTCAACTTTAAAGGCCAGATCTGGGCAGAAGTGGCCTTGCTAACGCACAGCCAGCAGGACAAGATGCCTCCTGTCGTTCCCCACCATGTCTCTAAGACATTGGGTGAGAACGCTTACTCCTGGTTTCTCTCCCAATGCCTCAGAGTCCTGGCTGGTGTCCCATTTGCCCCGAGTTAGAAGGCCAGAATTTAGGCAGATGCACTTGGAAGCATCAACTTTCCCGCTCACCCCCCACGCCCCAAAGCAGGTCAGTATTGGAGTGTCTGATAAAGCAAAGCAGGCAACAATTGGCTGATACCATTCCTGAGGGAAGAGCCCACAGGCCACTGGCACCATGATGAGGAGGCTGTAAGAAAGGAGAGGAGTGTTAGGGACATGTCCCAGAGGCCTGCCCACACCCTGTCCCTGAGCCCACACACCTGACCTACCTTCCCTCCAGCCCTTCTCTATGTCCTGTAGAGACAGGGTCATCGTGTAGACTAGGGGCAGGGGCTGGCTGAGGATGGTCCTGAGCTACTGATCCTCCTGCTCCTGCTTCTGCTGGGATGACATCCCTGTGTGCCACCGCCCTGGCTGGGAATTGAACCCAGGGTCAGGTGCACACTAGGCAAGCATTCTGCCACTGAGCTATCATGTAGAAACCTCATCATGACTTGGTGATAGAAATCTGTGTCCCCTCTCCCCTCACTCCAACCTCTGCTTCACACCTGCAGTCAAATGGGGAAAGAATAAGGGTGTGACTGAGGAAATGTAACTAAATGACTGACATAACTAAGGAGAGTAGAGAGCAGACCAAGGTCACAGGGGCCTGTGCCACACAGGGAAAAGAACTATCACCAGCAGGACACAATCAATGACATCCCAGTCAATGACAAACTGCTAAGAACACAGCGTGCCATTTTTTTCCGTCTGTGAGGCTGAGATGCTGAGAGCCCCAACCAATCTCTGCCTCCTCATTCTTACTTCTCTAAACCTGCCCTAGACCTGAGGGACAGGGGACCCTGGGAAGAACCCCAGTTCACACATCTGGGTGTCACAGCCAGCAGAGAGCTCACACATCAAGAGGATATACTCACAAGCAGCCACACAGCACGACCTGCAGTGGAGCATGCAGCACTTTCACCTTCTGCTCAGAGGGGAGAAAAAAACAGAGAAAGACGCCCACGAGGGACTTAGATGCCGCAGAGCACCCCCTGCACCTACCCCGCCAGAAGAAGCTAGAGGCTAGATCTGCTGCCCTGAAGGGGAAAGGTGTTCCCCTGGCTCTCTGCAGACAAGGTCAGGAAGCCTGCTTTCATATCTGAAATAGAGGCCGGTAAAGGCTGGCACAGGCTCTGCTTGAGTAAGATGAGGTGGTAGCTACTGGGAAGGAGGGGAAAGCCAATTTCTAGGGAGTTAGGCAGGGAGCATGACCTACCTTCATCAGGGGCAGTTTCTCCAGCCTCTCCATGATGACTGGCAACAGGACTGGAAGAGACAAACAGCCAAGAGAGAAGTCACACTCCCCAAACTCACAACTGCAGGCAGATCACAGCCTGAGGGGCCTGCCGTCCCCCCAAGACTCTGCAGAAAATACTTGCCATTGGGAGAAAAACAGAGACTGCACAGGCACCACTACACAGACTCTCCCCCAAATCCCAGAGAAAGTACACTTCCCGAAAATGTGTTTACCGACAGAAGGCAGACACACACCCCTGTACCCGAAGCATCCTTCTCAAGATGAAAACTACTTTGCAGGCTCACACAAACACATTTGTAACCTACTCTGCAATACGACCCTGCTGAGATCCAGGGCGGGCCATTGTCTCTGCCACTGTATCCCAGGTACCTCCCACTATTGCTCAGTATCACTAGCTAAATGAGGTTAACTCACTTCCCCAAATTAGATGAACTGATAGAAATGGGAGGAACGTGTGTGGATCCCCGGGGCTGTCAGCTCTCACAGAAAGCTTGAGAAAGTATGCCACTTGAAAGCTGAGATGACCAAAGCCTCGACCAGGTAGTCAAGGGTCCCCGCAACACAGGAGGTGTTCCCCATCTTACTCATTCCAGGGGCTGCCATGGTGATCCGAGAAATAACCACTTGTGTGATGCCCACAGCCGCAGCTCTCTGGGGGCAGAGAAGAGCTGTCAGGGGTCACTTATCCAGAGTTTGTGGGCTACAGAGGTGAGGGGGAGCATGGCCAAGTCTGAGCAGGTAGAGGGGATGGATGGACCCACCCAACTCGCCTGCCTGAAACAATTTGGGAAACCTGTCTGAACAACTAAATGGGGGGCGGGGGGAGGGATGCCAAACCTGTAATGGCACCCGGGGCATGTGTGAGCCCATCTAGGAGGGACAGGGTCAAAGGGGGAAGTCTCTCCCCCTGCTTACCTGAGAACAGCCAAGCTCATTTTGGTTCCTGTCCTTCACACAGATGCCCTGGATGAGTTCCCTAGACGACAGAAGTTTCTGGACATTAGGAAGTAGACACACACACACACAAAAAGAAGTAGACACAAGCCAGGTGGTGGTGACGCACACCTTTAATCCCAGCACTTGGGAGGCAGAGGCAGGCGGATTTCTGAGTTTGAGCCCAGCCTGATCTACAGAGTGAGTTCCAGGACAGCCAGGACTACACAGAGAAACCCTGTCTCGAAAAACCAAAAAAAAAAAAAAAAAGGAAGTAGACACAAGAAGCCTGCCTGGCAGGTGACACATCAGGTCACCAGCTCCAAGGACTGATACAGGAGGAAGTCCCCTCCTGCAGCCTGGCCCTTCGGTCTCCCTTCTTCATCCTTGTGGATGGTATCTCAGAAGTGATGCTGAGAAGAGGCCAAGAAAGCCAGCCCTGGATCCACACTGCCTGACTGGATTCCTGAAGCTGTAGGCGTATGTGTGACCGACCTTAAGAGTGGTCTTTAACCCTTCCAAACCTCAGTTTTCCTAATGTGGAGAATGGGATAATCCTGCCACCTACTTCATGGAACGTAATGAGAATTAAATGAGCTACTGAACAAGTTCTGAGACCAGTGCCTGGCTTAGTACCTATCCCTCATACAGTAGCTATTCTGTCTAGACAAGCTCTTGGCGTCCCTCAGTCGGAGACCAGGTAGATAGACACACTGGTTCATCTGCTTGGAAAGCACGGCAGAGCAAGGAGTAGAGCAGAGTAGAGACATGGGCACACACGGCACTCTGCAAGCCCTTTCACAGGGGCTGCTGTGGAGAGCCTCCATCTGCCAACAAAATATGGCTGTTACAGACAACGGTGTCAGCAGCATCTAAGATACCCAGTCCTTACACCACATGTGTTCTAGAAAAATACAAAAGGGGAAAGAAAGAAAACAGAAACTGGGCTGGGGATGCAGCTCAGTGGTCATCCTTGGCTAGCATGCCTCCAGGCTCAATACCCAGCATGTCAAAGAGAAAAAATAGAAGAAGAAGAAGAAGGAGAAAGAAGAGGAGGAAGAAGAGGAGGAAGAAGAGGAGGAAGAGAAGGACAAGGAGGAGGAGGAAGAAGAGGAGGAAGAGGAGAAGAAGAGGAGGAAGAGGAGGAGGAGAGGAGGAGG